ACAATGTTTTGTGGCCAGAACACTGTTGAAAGAAAAAGGACTTGCCAGAATTGATAAGGAAAGCCTTGAGAAAGCAACTCTGGCTTCAAACTGCAAGGCACAAAGGAAGCCGGGGTTGTATTTATGCGATTATAATATTAACCAAGTTTAAGGGCACGACTGCGCATTTTAAAAAAGTATTATTGGCTGCGGTCACACGGAGCATTAGCCATGCTACTGAGACTGATGATAGGCGGATTTTCCGGGCGCGATCACACCGCAACATCTGGGAAGCGCAGAGCTCCCATGGCGAACCTGAGGCTTCCCGCCGAAGATGCGGAGTTAAAACTTAGTACCTCCGAGGTACTAGTTTCCGGAAACCGCGGGACAAGGGCTGGCGTCTGATCGCGTTTCCGGTGGTAGTCCGTGGCATCCGGTGCCCGCCCATGTCCCGTTGCAAACAGGTCCCCCCCCCAAGTCTCCACAGGATGCGCACAAGCACCCAACGACGCATGCGCATGAAGAAGAAAGCAAAAGTTCCGTTGCTCCACAGAATCGCGCATGCCGTTGGTGAGATCGCGCCGCTTCTTTGCCGCGCTGCAGGATCGTCGTGTGATCGCCACCTCGCCCCTACCCACGGGACCTCGATGGGACGTGTGATCGGACGGCTGCGCGTTATTTTGCTCCGGGCCAAACTGCCACGCTCCCCCCCCCGCGCATTTTACGGCCCGTGTGACCGGGACCATTATTTACTTTATCTCTACCCTGCCTTTCTCCTAAATAGGGACCCAAAGTAAAATATCCTCTCGTATATTTTATCCTCACAACAACCTTATGAGGTAGGATATTCTGAAAATGTGTGAGTGGCTCAAATTACTCATCAGGCTTCCCTGGCAGGATGGGGATTTGAACCTGGCTCTCCAAAATCCTTGTCCAACTATCCACTACACCACTACGGCTTTTGACTTTTTAAAAACCCTGTAGTTCTTGTGTATGGCAAAGACAATTCCCCTAAAGCACCTGTTTTGTTTGCATGAGCACACCAAGTCACAGTGAGAGAGGAGAACCACTGGAAAAAGAACAGGTGAAATCCTTAAAAGGAAGAAATATATATTTCACCACAAGAGGGCACTGCCATAAAAATAAGGAAACTTGGAAGAACCACCAGAATTTCTTATCTTATGCTGGCCTTGCAAACCAGCAGAAGGCCAAAAATCACACGCATGGTGGAAAGCTCAGACAAACTTTCCTGCACAGTGCATTCAGAACTGCCTGTTTTTCGCACGTGCACACCAACAGTGTGAGAGAGTTCAGTAAGCTAGCTAACTTCAGGCACGTGGAATAGGTTTTTAGCACATTATCACTGGAAAAATAGTCAAGTGGGCCAAAAGGCAGGAGGACACAATCATGACTCCGTGACTCTGCTTTCCAGTATCGTAGAAATTCCAGGAATGGAAAGGGCAGGAAGAATTCTACTTCTACCAAAAGCTGCTGCCACAGGAAGGGGCAGTGGTCTGCAAATCAGTCAAGCAGGTTTTAAAAAGTTACAAATCACAAACAAATCTTTGTAATGTCACCATTACTCAGCAGTTCTATTTCATGTGGGTTTTTATCACAGTTGATTGTCTGGCTTCACAACCAACCTGCTTGAGAAATGGTCATTCCCAAATTTAGATCAAGCTGCTGCTTTTATCTCAATATGGAAAGAACAGAAGAAGAAGAGGAGATTGGATTTATGCGCCGCCCTTCACTACCCGAAGGAGTCTCAGAGCGGCTTACAAACTCCTTTCCCTTCCCCTCCCCCACAACAGACACCCTGTGAGGTAGGTGGGGCTGAGAGAGCTCTTTCGAGAACAGCTCTGACAGGACTATGGCTTGTCCAAGGTCATCCAGCAGCTGCAAAGGGAGGAGTAAGGAATCAAACCCGGTTCTCCCAGATTAGAGTCCGCGCACTTGATCACTAGCTAAATTGCAGAATTGACTACCTTGAAAAGGGATTACACAGAACATCTCATTTGATTTTATTTTCATTACAAAATACAGAGAAACGTTACCTTTTCAATAGCTGGCACAAACTGCTTTGGGACATTGGTTCCAACAGTTCTGTCTTCAAATTCCACCTTGGTGTTGTTCTCTGGCTCCAGGGGTTCTAGAAATCCCACCACTTTACCATACTGGCCAGCCCCACCACTCTGCCTTTTATGAGTGAAGTCAAACCTGCAAAACAAGACACCGCCATGATGTTTATCAGGAAAAGTACTGTCTAGTCATACAGCGTATTTGGGTGGGCAGAGACTGGCACCGACACCCCCAACTTATAGGGTGCCTTTAGGTTTACTGGCAAAGTCTCTATGCAGTGGTGTTAAATTGCTGTTAAGAGTATTGCTTTATTTAATTTAAATGCATTCACAAATATTTATATGCCCGCCTTTTCCCCAGACAACTGGGGAGACTTTTCAGCTAAGAAAAAATAAATGATAAGAGAATATGACAGATTTATAGGAATATGATTGACACAATCAGGGGTCTTGTAGAAAAAGAGCTGCCGGAGCTCATTAGCATAACTCATTAGCATAACTTATTTGCATATGCCACGCCCCCTGACATCACCGGAAGTGACAGAAGGCCACACCCCCTGACATCACCGGAAGTGTGTCAGAAGGCCCGGCTACTTACCCTCCTGCTTCATCCTCATTCCCAAACGGAATGAGGATCGAAGCAGAGGGCGGGGTAAAGAAGGGGGCGGGGCTTCACCACGTGACCGCCCCGCCCCCTAGAGGTTCTCTTCCGGAGCTCCGTACCTGAGAGCTCCCCCCCGACTAGAGCCCTGGACACAATTATGCATAGCGTGGAGCTAGTAGACAGAGAGTATAACCCCCCCCCCACAGTGCTAGAATTTGTGAGGATCCAATGAAGCTTAAAGAGAAGAGGACAGATAAAAGGAAAGGCTTTTTCAGACAATGCATAGTTAACTTGTGGAACTGACTACCTTGGAAGGGGATTACACAGATTCACAGAAGATAGGTCTTTAACTATTAGGCACAATGACTAAATGGAATCTCCACATTCAGAGGCAACATACCAGCTGCTGGCAGAAACAAATGGGAGGGGGGAGACTTCTGGGGCCCCTGGAGAAAGAGGATTCCAGCCTAAACAGACTACGGCTCTTCTAATGCTCTTGTCCCATCAGGCCCAACCTTTAGATTGGTTATAAATTATGATGTAATTTTAATATTTATATCGTTTTTACTGTTTTATTGTTTTATCAACTACATGTTGTTAGCCGCCCTGAGCCTCCGGGGAGGGCGGGATATAAATGAAATAAATAAATAAATAAATAATACCTTAGTTAAACCAACCTTGGTATATAATTACTGGGCCATAATACCTATGATGATTAAACACACGTCATTTGCCATGTTGGCATAAACCATGCTCTCTTGTATCCTGTTCACAAGTTACACTTAAGGTATGCACAATCTGTATAAGTGTATGCTCGATGTTTCTTTATATATGTTATGTAAGTCTCACATTACAGTCTATTTATGTACCGCTGAAGGTGTGGTTGATACAATGTGTGTATCCAGGTACACATTTACTTACAGGATGTAACAGAAACAGGACTACCACCTCAGCCCCTAAGTCTAACATAGGCATTAATAATATATGCATTATACCTTTGATGTCCACCCTTATCTGTCTTTAACAGGGAAACTACCAATTTTTCCCCTCTCATGGCACAGGAAACATATGCAACACACCCCTCCCTCCAAAAAGACACCCACCCATCCAGAAGACCAGTGCTTAAAAGAGAATAAACATTTCTCCTTGCTTTTGACCAAAGTACAAAGAACTGCAGCCATGAAATGAAAAGATGCCTGCTCCTTGGGAGGAAAGTGCTGGCAAACCTAGACAGCGTAATAAAAAGTACCTGCCAACAAAAGTCTGTATGGTCGGTAGTCATGTATGGCTGCGAGAGCTGGACCATAAGGAAGGCCAAGCGCCGAAGAATAGATGCTTTCAAATTATGGTGCTGGAGAAGACTCTTGAGAGTCCCTTGGACTGCAAGAAGATCAAATCAGTCAATCCTAAAAGAAATCAACCCTGACTGTTCCCTGGAAGGCCAGATACTGAAGCTGAAGCTCAGATAATTTGGCCACCAAATGAGAAGGGAGCACTCCCTGGAGAAGACCCTGATGCTGGGAAAGACTGAAGGTCAAAGAAGACGGGATGGCAAAGGATGAGATGGTTAGACAGTGTCATAGATGCAACGAACATGAAATTGAGCAAACTTCAGAGGACGGCGGAAGACAGGAAGGCCTGGCATGATGTGGTCCATGGGTGATAAAGTTTTGGGACTCGACTGTGGGACTGAACAACAACAACAAAAACAATAGCTTTAGTTTAGTCCTTTTAGTTTCCAGGGAGAGTTCAGAATGAAGTGCAGGGTGGTGATGTTTGAGCATAGCTGTTAAGAGCATCAGACAAGTATCTGGGAGACCTCCGAATCCCGACTTGCACCAGGGAAGCTGGATGGGTCACTTTGGGCCAGCCATGTGCTCTCAACCGAACCTACCTCACAGGGCTGTTGTGAGGATAAAATGGAGAGGAGAAGAGTGGTGTAAGTCTTCCACTAGAGAGGAAGGCAGGGTATGAATTAAATAAATAAAACAAGCAGCATTGCGGGGGAGTGCGTGCCCCATATATCTTTCCTTCATCCAGTTGCTGATGACAACAAACGCTCTCCCCAAATGAAATCACGTTGCGACTGTCTCCTAAAACTGGGGTCGGGAGGTCCACCAAGTTCAACGGGACTGACTTCCGAGCAACAAGTCTGCGGCTTCGGGCTGAAGCACAACTACCGTCGGCTGTGTGGCTTCCTTCCAAGTACACATGCTGAAGGGCTGGGCGTTTCCCGCGGGGCCAAAGCCCTCTGGCCGAAACCCTGCGCACATTTACGTGGGAGTAAACCCCTACGAACTCAGTGGGCTTCGATCCCAAGTCAACAAGCCTAGGGCGGGTTTGTTAAGTCCATTATTTTTGGCGCGGAGGCCATTTCCAAATCTCTCCTTCCCTGCTTCTCTGCAACGGCGAAGGAAAGCCGCAGGCGTGCCCTGCGCCGCCCGCTCCAGATGCGGCCCTCCGGGCAGATGTGGCGCGGCTCCGCCCCGCCCGCTCTTCTCCCCCTGCTCTTGCTGGCGCTCCCTGCCACTCTCCAGGCGGCACCCCCAGCGGAGACCCTCGCCGCCGCGCCTCCTCCTCCTCCCACCGCCCAAGCCCAGCCCAGCCCGGCCGACCTTTCTGCTTGGCCAGGGAGGGGCCACCCCCGCAGCCGCGGCCTCCTCGCAGAGCAGCAGCAGGCAAAGCGCGCCGCCCCCATGGAGATCCCGCCGACCCATTATCCGGCCACCCGAGCCAGCGGCGTGGTGGGCAACTACATCAACTACCAGCACGGCGGGCCCCACACGATCTTCGAGGTGCGGCAAGTCAGCCAGGCCAGCCGAGAGGTGAGCCAGCACCTGCCCCCGGGGGTTCTCAATCCACTTCCAGGGCAGGGGTGTTACACGCTCCCGAAGGCCGCTTCGTCCTCGGGGGGGAGGGGGGGCGCGCTGGCGCTTCTACTAAAAAACCGAAACACTTCCTCCTCCCCTGGCTCTTCTCCCATTCACGATATGAAGCTGACTTTTCTAAGCAACCTTCCCCCACCACCATTTTTCATCACTGGGCGAAAGACAGAGCCATGCACGCCCCTCCATCAACCCCCCCCCCTGAGTTTGCTGAGCACCCCCAGCCTGATGGTTCCTGAACACACAGCCCTGACCAAAGGTAGCAGATAGTGCACTCCACTGGGCGCAGGCTGAAGTGACTCTTGAATGGGGGACTGCACGGCTTGTCCCTTGGGTCAACAGAGCATGGCACACCCTTTGCCATCCACCTGCAGGACGGTTCAGTCTTCCAGGGCTGGCCTCTCTCTTTCCCGCCCTCTCCCCCGATGAGCTGAAATAAGCCCAGTGGGCAATGCAGCGGCTCTAGGAGGATGTGATTGGCCCCGTTTACAAGGAAGGAGAAAAGAAAAACATATCAAATGGTGTAGCAGCGTCCCTTTTGCTCTCAGCGACTGCGGGAGGAGGCACAGAAGTCAGCTTTCCCCACCCCACTCCAACCAATACTGAAAATGCCCGGAATGTGTTTGGGGCAGAAGTGTAGAATTATTTGCGATAGAAATAAAGGCTCCCCACTGCCTCCTCAACAGGTTGTCTTTGATCCTGGGCCAGGTCCTCCCTAAAGCACAGGAAGAAGTGGCCAGAAGTGGTACAAAGTTACAGGGTACTGAAACACAACAGATCAGTGGTTACAAACACTGGGTACTGGCTGGCCAAAGCTAGCATTTAATATTCTGCTGACTTCACTGGGAGAGGAGAATGCCCGTGCCTCACTCAGCGAAGTGAAATGGGGCTTGACTGTTCTTAAATTTGGCTGAAGACACACACTCCGTTGTCTTCCTGTGTGCCTTCTGTGTGTTCCAGATTAACTGTTTTTCGAGACTAATCAGTAGCTCTGCGTTCAGCATTTGGAGTCCTCACAACGGAAGACACGTGACATACTCTTTTTCTCCCCCAGGACATTGCAGGCGTTGGGCATAAATACCGCCTTAAGTTTTCAATAGCAGAAGTCCTCCCCAAAGTAAGTGGCATTTCTTTGGTTTATGTTGATAGGGCTTCTTTAGGGTGAGCCATTTCCTATAGCAGGCGTGTTTAGGCATGAGGAAGCCATTCCTAAAATAAGCAAATGTCTGCACCAAGGAAGCGCAAAACATACAGTCTTGGCTTTGAATAAAAATATCTTTCTGGCACTCTGATCCTAAATGAATGTATACAACATGTATAGCCAGCTTTTTCTCATACAAGACCAGCAGTCATGTGATCCTACAGATTGCCAGCAGGAACTTCATTCTACCAGATAGGCCGCTTTCAAGGAAGGCAGAGTTAACCGGTCTTTTGGCCCTGAGGAAAGCAGTTAGTACACACGCTTACGCAAGGAGAGGCAGTCCTTCAGATATGAGGTGCGAGGCTAGGAAGGGCTTTAAAGGAGAAGACTAGCAACTCTGAATCCCATTAAACTGTTTTGAGAGCGGTGGAATATGATGGCAACGGCTCATATCCCTATTAATGACCAAGGGGTGGCATTTTGGACTAGTAGAAGTTTTCGTACTGTCTTTAAGGGCAGCCCCTCCAAGAGCGCATTACCACAACCCAGCCTAAAACGTACAGGAAGGCGGATCAGCATGGCAAGGTTAGCCCATCCCAAAAGCTTGGTGGCCTCCGCAACTAGTGTGGATGGCCCTGGTTGGGTCTGCCAAAAGCCCATGGCTTTTAACAGCCTACTAAGGATGATTTCACACTGGTAAGTAAAAGCAAACCATCCCCCTCAGCGGCATCAGACTTTCCCGCCAGCAGTTGTTGTGACCTAGAGGTGCCAGAATGCAAGTACGGTCTGAGCATTTCTTGATACAGTTAAAGGGATTGAGGCAGGCAGTCCACGCAGGGATATAACCCAGTGGAATATCAAGTTGTTACACGGAAGTTAAAGCTTTGTTGGATAACAGTGCTGATTTTGGTGTGAACCAGCTGACTGGGTATCACTGGTGATTTATCTCTGCAGAAGTCCTACAGATATCTGTCATATCCTCTCAACTCAAAGCCAATTATGCTGAATGGAGCCAGTTCATACTTACAGTCATTAAAGAAATCAAGCAGCACATTTCCTAGTAAATGCATTTAGGAGCTGTGTGGAAGTCCCTTATTTTTAAGAGCAGCATTCCTCATTGTCAATGATAGAATGTTTCAGACTTAATATACGTTAAGCCTATTTCTTTTAAACATAAAAAAATGTTTAAAAGAAATAGGCTTAACGTATATTAAGTCTGAAACATTCTATCATTGACAATGAGGAATGCTGCTCTTAAAAATAAGGGACTTCCACACAGCTCCTAAATGCATTTACCCGAAGACACCAATCAGAGGGCTAGAAGGGTCCTTATAAGCCATTTAGTCCAACTCCCTGTTCAGTGCAGGAAACCCAAACTAGAACATTCCTGACAGCTGGTCATCCAGCCCTTGCTTTGGAAAGCCTCCCAGCAAGAGAGGACCCTGACCCAAAATAACAGGGAACAAGTTCCATTACCATACTGTTCTTCGCATTAGGGAGTTTCTCCAAATGTTCACATGAAATCAACTTCTGCGATCCTTCAAGGCCATTAGATCTAGTCTTGCCCTCTGAAGCAGCAGAGATTTCATGCCTACTGCTTGAGGCAACGGTGGAATAAAGTGTTTATGTCTAAGTAAAGGTAAGGGTAGGAGCTGCGGTGGCTCAAGTGGTTAAGACGCTGAACTGCAGGCTGTGGAAGGTCAGTAGTTCAGCAGTTCGAGACCCGGGTGCCGCATGATGGAGTGAGCTCCCATCTCTAGTTCCAGCTCCTGCCAACCTAGCAGTTCGAAAGCAAGAAATTGCAAGTAGATAAATAGGTACCACTTCGGTGGGAAGGTAACAGCGTTCCGTGCGCCTTGTTGTTTAGTCATGCCGGCCACATGACCACGGAAATGTCTTCGGACAGCGCTGGCTCTTCGGCTTTGAAACGGAGATGAGCACCGCAACCCTAGAGTCGGACTCGACTGGCTTTCGAGCAAGGGAAACCTTTACCTTTAAAGGTAAGGGTGCGATTCACACAAACCCAGTTTTTGCTAAGGTATGGAAATGAAGGCTATGGTACTATGAAAATACCCCTGCTGTCTTTTAAGACTGGCACTTCTCTGGAAATAGAGCAGGGGTCATTAGGGAAGTGGGGGGGGAGTAGTTGTGAATTTCCTGCTTTGTGCAGGGGTTGGACTAGACAACCCTTGAGGTCCCTTCCAGTTCTGTGCTTCTATGTTTAAGGAGGAGGCTAGTCTGCCAGTCAGACCACCTATCACAGCACGATTCCACAACAACAGAAGAGTGCTGCCCTATCTGATCACATTCTATAATATCTGTTATCAGAACAATTGAATAGAATGGGAAGAGGAATGCTTGTCACATTCTCTTGGACCAGAGAGCAGTTACGATATATAGTGTTCAAAACAAGGACTTAGTCCTGTACAGTACAGGTTAGCTCATGTTGAAAAGAACCTCTCTTTAAAAAAGAAACAAACATGCTAGCATGTGGCTTCTACTGAAAACTTTAAACTCATGCACGTTTTTCTGCAGCAGGACAGCCCCGTGAACTGCACAGCTGAGATCCTTTATCATCACGGTGACCAGCATGTTGCTCCAGAAGTCCATTACACAGTGGAAGGAGAGTTCGGGAAGAATACAGAGCAAGTGGATAATGAATTCTACAACAGAATCAAAAATCTGTCAGAATTACTAGAGGCACAAAATATTCCAGGTTAAAAGAAAAGAAAAAAACTTCACTTTTTGAGTGGGCTTTTAAGTATTGAACTGAACCAAGTTGATGAAGTTTTGAAATTTACCACTGCCTTGTGAACATTAGTTGGCAGCTTTCCTTTAAACCAGAGTGAGGAAACCTATAGGTCCCCAAGCTCTGCCCCTCTGGCTGGATGGCTATCAGCTGATGCAGCAAGGTTGGCTCCCCCTGTCCAGTTCTACCTGGACCAATCAGCCCTCTGGGGAGGGGACAGACTGGTTACAAAGTCCTGGAGGGACAGGTGAGATCGGGATTGTTGGCAGTCTCCACTTCAACCCTATGGATCAATGTCTCCAAAACGTCCCATCGTTAACAGCTGTTCTCAGTTCTTGCAGACTGAGGGCCAGGGCTTTATTGACTGATGCGATCCAACTCATGTTGGGTCTCCCGCTTTTCTTCCTGCCTTCAGCTTTGTGATAGAGGTCTATAGTAGCATTATTGTCCATTTCAGGGAGGGGTGAGTACACCATGCAAATGTATGGATGGTGCCTAGGACTGATAGCCAATATCATAGAAGTTATCTACAATAAAAGGGAGGGCTGGGTTTATTTTTTTGAAGTTGATAAATAGATCAAGGCTTCCCTTCCAGTTCAAGACAGGCTGTTTTGTTTGTTTCTGTTGCTAGACAGTCATGGGAATATAACTGCTGAATTGGAGCCTGTGCGGAACCTAGCCCGAGTAGCCTGTGGATATGTAATATGGCAGAATTCGACTGAAGACACCTATTACAACATGGTACAAGTTGAAAGCGTCAAGCAAGTGGTGAGTTAACACAGCAAAGACTGAGGGGCTGACAATTCTAGGTTGTGACAAGGTTGTGAAATTCTAGCACGTTGGATATGTGTGTGTGTGTGTGGGGGGGATTGTTCACATTGAGAAGGAAAACCAAGTCAGGATTCCCCCCCCCCAAAAAAAGGTTGTTTTCTACTTCCATGGCAAAACTCCCAAAAAACTCAACCTGCGTGGTGCCATTCTGAGTCATATCTACAGTATGCTCTCCCACTATCCCTCTTACTAGCTACCACTGGTTGCCAAAAAAAAGAAAAAACGCATATTAGAAGGCAGTGAATACAAGGCCATTCCTTTCTGTGAGGCACCAAGTAGGACATTTACTTGCCTAAGAAGGCCTCCAACTGCCAGGAGTGGAGCAGACTAATCCAAACCCCTTTCCCGTGTTTTTTGTGTTTGCCTTCTTGAATTATGTTATTCCACTAGAACCTAAGAAGAGCCCTGCTGGATCACACCAGTGGTCCATCTATTCCAGCACCCTGGTGCACACAGTGCCCAGCCAGTTCCTCTGGAGGGCCAACAACAGGGCACAGAGGCGGAGGCCTTCCCTTGCTGTTGCCTCCTGGCTCTAGCATTCAGAGGCTTTGTGTCTCTGAATGTGGAAGGTTCTTTAGTCACCATGGCTAGTAGCCACTGATAGACCTATCCTTCATGAATCTGTCTATCTAGTCCCCTTTTAAAGCCATCGGTGCCTGTGGCCATCACTGAATCTTCTGGCCGTGAATTCCACATTTTAATCACTCATTGCATAAAATAGTATTTTCCTTTTGTCTGCCCATCAGCTTCGTTGGATGCCTTCAAGTTCTAGTATTTGGGGAGAAGGGGACAAAACTCTTTATACACTTTGTCCACCCCCTGCATAATTGTATAGACCTCTGTCACACACACACACCCCAATTGCTTTTCTTAACTGAAGAGTTTGGGACTCTGCACCAATCATATTGGTTGCCCTTTTCTGTGCTTTTTCTTTGACGTGGAAGGGCTCTCTTATGAGCTGTTCTTTTACACCAGCAAGACCTAAAATGGGTTTACTAAGATGCTTTATTCCACAAAGGAGTCTCAGTAACTCCCAGGTGCATTCTCCCTTCCCCATGAGAAGAAATTAGGAACTGAATGGAGCATTACTTTGTTTATGCAAAGGCTCCATGGTCACCTGATTACAACAAAGTCTTTTGTAGAACAGACTGGGTAGCTGAGGAGCTGCTGTGTAAACATCTCGGGTGGCTACAGAGATGCTGTGAAAACAAGCACACACAGTATAAAGCTTTACGTTTTCATCAAATGGAGTGTGTGTCTTTGTGTATATACAAATGCACACGTGAGCAAGAAAACTGGTGTATGGGCTGAGTGTCTCCAGATGGTAATATCCCATTGTTCCTTGAATTTCACATCACCAAATATTGCTAATGTCATCCTCCCCACCACTGTTTTTGTAGTGCAGGGTATTCCCTCAATTTATTTTTGAGTTTTATACACCTGGTCAAATCTGCTTGCTATTTAATATACTGGATTTTGCCATCAGATATTCTTACAGAGTTGCTGGACATCAGATGTGGGGCGGAAAATGTTTGGGTGCTTTCTTTTTCTGTGGAAGATTGTTTCACAAAATTGACAACAATTAATGGATGCCAGTGCCAATCCAGTTGCCAGGCAAGCTTGCCAGTTTCAAAATTGTAATTAATTTTTTTTTGGGGGGGGAGGGTAAAGGAGGAAGGATGTATAGGATAAGGATATAAAAGAGGAAGGATGCATATAGTAGTTCAATTTTTTTTAAAAAAATTCAACTGATTTGTTTTTATTTGACCTGCATAGCCAAACTAAAAAAAATTATTATGTCTCTTCTCACATGGTAAAAAGGACATTGTCTCACCAGTGATCTGGGACCAATCAGGAATGCAAAAAATAATAGTGGAGGCGCCCCAGTGACCACTGTGAAATGTGTTAGATTCCACTGAAGCAGACGAGCAGACAAACACAGCCATGGCATATAATGCATAGTTCTTGGGTGTGCTAAAAATTGAAAAAATAAGGGAAATACATGCCATGTTGCCTTTAAATTGTTACAAGTGTTATTCTAAGTGTTAATTTTTAAAATGTAACATTTAAACTACACCTGGTTAATTTTTCCCCCCATCAAGCATTTGTTGAACTATTTGTTGCTATGGGGACCTTTTAAAGTTGTTTACTAAAAATAGGTGAAAACAAACATGCTGAATCAGACGCTCTTTAAGGCACTGGGATTGGAAGGGGGGGATTTTTCCAAATCACATTTTTCTGGAAATCCACATCACTACCTGAAATATGTAACATCTATCTGTTCCATGTGGCCTGCTTTCTTTTATATTCCAATCACACCCACCCACCCAGAAAAGCACAGACTAAGGAAGGTGTGCCCATAGCAATTTAACATGACACAAGGCACAGTGACTCAAGTTATTAAACTGTTCATGGAAACAACAGTCTTTTCTCTTCAAAAAGTATGGGCACTTTTTTGTCAATTGAAAGTGGCCGTCTGAGCAACTGGAGAGTCTTTTGAACTCAGGGTTCTGCCTCTCGTATGTTATTCTGCAGCTAAAAATAAAAGACACTCCAGCAGGGGTGGGGGAGGTGGTCTCTTGTGTTCACCTAGCTCTTCAACATTTCATGCTGATATAAGACGCTTCACAGTAATTAGATACACCTGACTGACAACTGTATATAATGAACCTAGAGTGTAAATTTTCTCCTCTGCTGCTGGTTTCAGAAAAGGAACGACGATTACCTTGAATTTTCCTACGTGGCTTTAATCCATGACATTGTCTCCCAGGTAAGTACCATTATTGTAAAAGAAAAACGGGAAGAGTCCCGCTTGTGGAAAAAAAATCACTCTAGCATGGGCGAATCCCACAACAGGACTTGAGGCAGGAAGGAGCTGCCAGGGGTCCTGAGCTGAAGCCGCTTCCAGAGCCACACAGATGTCCTGAGAGCCTGGCGCTCAGTTTGCTGCTGCTGAACAGCAGAGGATGGGATCCAGCTGCCGGGATCCGGGGGGGGGGGCGGAGGGGGCGCAGAGTTCATAGTAAGGCATCAGCTCTGCATGCAGGGCATAGAATTCGGCTTCCCTAGAATCTATTTTCATGGTGGTTGGTGTTGTTTTTTTTAAATAGGCAAGTTTCTAGCCCTCGTGGAGGGCTCTGCACATGCTTTGAGAAACTCGGGGATGACTGCAGAAATCTCAAAAGCAAGAGGAGTGGGTTGACCATGGTTTCCAGTGGTTGGGGACAGGGCTTCAGCGCTATACATAGCTCTTTTACAATTTTCAAGCTCTTAGCCTTAAAAAAAAGAGGACCCAATTATGCAAAAGTTTTTAAAATGCAAAAATTATGCAAGCGCACAGTTTATGCAGAGTCACAGTGTCCAGCTGCTTTGGGGGACATTATTTATATGACATATATGACACTAGAGTCATTGTGGAGCCATTAGTGCAAGTTTTTTTGCACGAGGTACCACTTTGTTTCCAGGTTCAATTCAGTGTGTTGGTTCTTCCTGGCCGGGAATGCACATCCTGAAAGCCAGTGTGGTGTCGTGCTTAGAGTGTCAGAGTAGAATCTCAAGCACCTTGCTCAGTGACCTCAGGACACTCAAATGGTCTTACCCTCATCTACTTTTTGGGGTTGTTGCAAGGATAAAAAGGGAGAGAGAATAACTATATGAGCCATTGGGGGTGGGGGGGAGGCGGGTATCTCTCCCTTATTATAAAAGAGTTTTGGGTGCCAGAATTCTAAAATTGGCCCCTTTAGTGTTAGGCTGAAAAAACTTGGCTGGGTTCATTAGCTGCTTTGTGCAGTCCCGGCCAGTGTTCCAAGGTCATTTACATATGGAAGCTGATTGGACTACACTCCATTCCACACCTCAAACTCACCCGCCCCCAAGGCAGTTGGAATTTTCAGTTGGGAGAGGAGAATGATGTCAGCTGCTCCCTAGGCAGAGGCTGTGTGTGTGGGGTTTTTTTTTGTAAAGACAGAGAGGCAGATAAAGGTTGGCTGATGGTTGCCAACTCCAGGTTGGAAACTTCCAGGATATTTTAGGGATGAAGCCTGCTGAGGGTGGGATCTGAGGAGGAGGAGGAAGAGGGGGACCTCAGACAGATACAATGCCATACTGCCCACACTCCAGACAAGCTGTTGCCAGTCTCCAGGTGACAGCTGGAGAGATCTTAAAGCTTTGGTGCTACTTCAAAGTTCCCCAGGAGCCCAAAACAGAGTAGTGTTTTGGAAAATCTTGAGGAATTGTTTGGTGCATTTACGATGGGGCTCCTGGGAAACTATTGTTGCCAATCTTGGCCCAGCAGCCATCAAACCATTCTCTTCAACCCCCTGCTGTGCAGCTGACTTCCCCCTAGGGTTGCCAATCTCCAGGTGGGACCTGGAGATCTCCCACTGCTACAATTGATCTCCAGATGACAGAGATCAGTTCCCCTGGAGAAAATGGATGCTTTGGAGGGTAGACCCTATGACATTATACCTGCTGAGTCCTTCCGCCCCCCCCCGCCCAATGCTGCCCTCTACAGAATCCACCCCCCAAACCTCCAGGTATTTCCCTCCTTAGAGCTGGCAACCCTACATTCCCCTCAGTGCCTGTTGGGAGTGGGTGGTGGGGGAGGGGAAGGGAGTGGGCGACCGGAGGCTTCTGCCTCCGGTCTCCGGTCCTGGAGTGGGGGGGGTGGAAACGGACCCGGCAGCCGGAGGCTTGCACCTCCAGTCGCCGGCCCTGGAGTGAGTGGGGTTGGGTGGAGGGAAACGGACCCTGCGGCCGGATGTCGGCCCTGGAGTGGGTGGGGGTGG